GGCCCAGCTGCCGTGGAGACCCCTCTGTCCAGGGCCCAGCTGCCGTGGAGACCCCTCTGTCCAGGGCCCAGCTGAGGTGGAGACCCCTCTCTCCTGGCGTCCCTCAGGTCTTGCTTCCCTTTCACACCCGCCTCCTGAGCCTCGAACCCCAGCTCTGGTGGCCCCACCTCTCACGATCTCTTAGGTGCCTCGTGAGGAGGTTGACATGTCTTAGGTCATCCTCCCAGGTCAGGGAGTGTGGGCGCAGTTGGACGAGCCATCGGCCCCCCAGGTCCTTCCGGGAACTGCTGGACTTTGATCCCTGTGACTTTCCTGCCTGAGGTTTTCCATAGGAGCACGGGGAGACCACAGCCAGCGCGTGCCCAGAGCCTGAGCCTGCACTTCAGTGTCACCCAGGCTTCTCACGCCACTGTCCTCTCCTTGCGCTGCACACTTGGGAAACTGGTCCTGGGCCCCCACCGAGTGAAGGGGTGAGGAACGCCAAGGCCTTCGGGAGTAGGCCACCTCCCCCCACAGCCCGTCACCCCGGGAGCCGGAGGTGCCCCGTAGGCATCCCTGCTCCATCGCTCGCTGCCTGGCTTCATCAGCACCCCAGGGGCCGCAGCTGTACCGACCAGGGTTCCCTCTAGGCCCGGCTGTGCCAGGCTCGAGGGCGGTCCAGGAGCTGCCTGGCCGGAGTCAGTGTCGCTGTGGCAGCCACGGCTCCTCCCAGGGGCTGCGAGAGGGCCCCAGGACAAGGTGAGGTGGAAACCGTGGCCCCCTAGCCTGGGCGGCACAAGCCCGGACCACGGTGGGGTGCGCCCTGGGTGCGACCCCACCGGCCCCGCCCTGCTGCATCGTGACTCAGGGCTGCAGAGACCACACGGAGGAGGCAGGAGAAGGGTGCGCCCGCTCCTCCAACCCTCTGCCTGCTGCGCAGCCCAAGCAACACAGAGGACCGGCTGCAAACGCCTCCGACAGCAATGCCGCCCCCAGGCTCTCTGTGGTGCCTGCAGCTCCCTACGACATTCCAGGGCTCCCTGTGCACCCTGAGGACAACTTAGCAACGACCGCGGCCGCATCTTTGAAAGCACAGATCACAAGTCCATCGGGGAGAGCTTGGCTCCCTGTTACCCGCAGGGTAAACCCACTCAGGGTTTCTAGACAGAAATAAGAACTTGTAGGGAACGGAGCGCAGTCTTCCCCCTTATCCAAGGTCTCCCTGTGGTTCCCGTGCCCACCATCAACCACGATCTGAAAACAAGACGTGGACACTGCCAGAAGTGAACGACGTGAAAGTGAACTGCTCAGAGTAGGAGTAGGAGGACCTCGGGCCGACTCCGTGCCCGCCGGGACACCTGCTGCCCAGCGGGCCTGTGCTGGCTGCTAGCCACTTAGGCCACCCGACGGACGGTCTGTCGTAAACCAGTGTCCCCAGGGCCTGGCGCTGTCGCCAGCTCAGCCTCCCTTGGGGTCTGGGAACGTACCCCTGTAGCAGGGCGAGTGGGCAATACACAGTTCCCACTTTATACAAAAGGCCGGGCTGCGTGTGAGAGGCCGGGTGCCACATGTAGAATTCCGCCATGAGAGGTGACAAGGTCCCTTTCTCCAAATATCACTGTTTTGGTAAGGGTTTTGCCATAGGGCACCTGTATTTGCCAGAGAGAGAGAGAAGTGAGAAATGACCCTCTAGCGGGCATGGCCATGGCACAGTCCCTTCTCCATTCTCCTCCTGGATTTTGGGCACACACACACACACACGGGCCTGGCACAATTTTCAAGCCGCCAGGCCCAAACTGTGGCCAGCCATGTGGGAGTCCAGCGCCTTAGCCAGCATGCCACCTGCTGACCCCCCAAGTATCTTTCATCAGTTTTTGCTATCAGGCATGTGTGCTCCCCAGAGACAGAGAGGGGAAGTGACAAATCACCCCCGGGGGTGGTCACGCTGCTACCCTTTCTCCTCCATTCTCCTCTTGGGGTTTTGGGCACGGGAAGACATGTGTCCAGTGTGATTTTCAAGTGGCCAGGTCTGGGACTCGAACTGTGGAGTGGGATATGTGGTATCCAGCTGCCTCAACCTCCATGCCACCTGCTGGCCCTCTCCAAATAGCTTAGAAAAGGCAAAATAAACCCTGTCTGCTCCCTGAAAGTGTGACGATGTCGGAGAAGTGGCAGGCCGGGCAGGCCGTGGCTGTGCAGACCTGCTTCAGCTGCTTTCTGTACTCTGCTACGTCAGAGCCAGAAACGAAACGTTACTACAGAAAACGAGCCCTGGAAAGCGGCACCTTGCAGATGAGAATCCAGTCTTGTAAAATGTTCTCCAAAAAAGAAATTTTCCCTGCCCTGGGCCTCCCGGGAGCAAGCAGCCGTGTTAGGCATGTCCCCGCGTGCCACAGAGCAGGAGGAAAGGCATGCACACCCCACGCCCGCAGTCACCTTCAGGGCCAGCCTCACGGCGTCGCAGTCCTCCCGCAGCGGGTTCAGCTTCAGCGTCTCCCCGAGGTTGCCGCAGCCGGCCGGCCGGTGCTGCAGCTGGCAGCAGACACACACCTCTACGCTGTCGAACTTAATCTGGACAAGAACACAAAGAGCCTGCGTCAGGGCCAGGACTGGCGGCGTGCATGGGCCACACGGTGAAGGGCACGTGAGATGGCTACTTCGGTCAGCTTTAGTCATAAAGCGGAACGGTTTCCACCGACCACGTCCATGAGAGCACCGCAGGGATTACTCCACAGGCCTGCTTTGAGGCGCGGAGTCGCTCGACACGGAGGGGTGCGCTGCGGGACCTGAGCTCCACTCCGAGCGGGAGCAGTGAGCAGGGGACCCCAGGCGCGGCGCCAGTCAACTCATCTGCATTGCACGGAGACGCTGCGAGGCCCTGCGCTCCGCCTGGCCCCGCGGGCACGAGCGCCTGTCGCCTGGAGGCTGCCAGTTCCGCCTCCGGGGACTCGCTGGTACTCGCCCAGGCTGCCACAGCTCCACGGGTCACAGGCGTGCAGCCCACGCCCAGTGAACTCAACGGCTGGCAAAAGTGAACGCCCAGGGAGGGAAGGAACGAGTCCTGAGCACTTTAAAAGCAGACTCCGACAGAGAGAGAGTCTCTGACGGAGACGAGGACAGATACCGGCCCGTACCTGACAGGACAGCAGATTTAGAAATCACGCTGGCCGGACCCGAGCTCGGCCGTCAAGCCCTGTGTGCGGGACGCGGGGTCCCACGTGGCCCTGGTGGCTAGAAAGCCACGCCAGACGTGTGCACGTGCCTAGACCCGACAGGACGGAGACCTAGAGCGGAGACGGGCGCGATGTGCCTGGTGGGGCAGGAGCTGCCTCTCGCCCTGGTGAGCACTCGAGCCCTCTGGCCAAACAGAACGTCTGAAAGGCGGAAGCACCAAGAGAGGACAGTGAAATGGCACGAGTCCCGAGAACGGCAGAGCGCACAGGACAGGCGATGCCCTTAGCCAGAGGCGCTCCTTCTCAGAAGACAGGCCCCCAGGGCCCGCCCGGTGCACGCTTTCCTCGACAGACGCTGGCCGCTTCAGCTACGAGCACTTTCACTGCCGGGTGACTGTCCACGCCGCTGCCATACAGCTCCTGTGTCCCAGCCTGCCTCACTCGGTACGGAGGAGCAACGCAGCACCCGCCCTCGGTGCCCAGGGCCCCGTGTCGCCCTCCCCTGGATGGCGCTGGCCGGGCCCAGGCGAAGCCCTCTCAACCCCAGCCTCTCCAGTCCTGGGTGCCCTGCACCTGCTGCTGGTTGGGAAGGCCCCTCCCCGGGTCTCCCCCGTGTCCCCGCTTCTCGCGTCTGCAAGCAGAGCATCGGCATGCAGCCCCGTGCTCAGCCACGTTCGTCTGTGGGAGCACCGGCACCGCGACGGGGGAGTCGGACCTTCGCGCAAGGAGCAGACGGCCCGTGGAGCCGGGCACGGTGCCGCAGCCTGTTCCATCAGCTGACCCTGCTCAGGCTATTCACTGCTTTGTTTTAAAAGTTGGTATTGGGGCCGGGCAAGTGGCGTGGTGGGTGAATGTGGGAGGCTGCACCAGTGAATATCGCCCTTAGGTTCTGGTTTCTCAGAGAGCAAACAATTACACAATGTCAAAGGCCATGATTGGCTCCCCTTTAAAACCTCACCTTCAAAACCATACTCTGATTGGCCACTTCCCATAGCAAATTGGTGAGCTTAGAATCCCTCAGATTTGCATATCCGGCACCTCATGATTGGTCCACAAAAGCAACCAATCATAATCCACCTTTTACAATCCTTCATTCAACCAATCACTGCCCACCAGCATGTATATAACCACGATCCCTGGCCCACAATCGCCAGATGACCCTGAAGACCCTGGAGAGTTGTGACGCTGCGTCGTCTCTGTGCTGCCCGTGCGGTTCGTCCCGTCTCTCACTCCTTCCCTCAGGAAACCTGTTCGACTGTTCCCGGGGTGGGGACAGCACTGGACTCCCACGTGACCGACCACCACGGGCCGGTCCCAGACCTGGTGGTTTATTTCTTTCTGTCACGCACCCTCTCTCTGGTAAAACTGAATACCAGAACTACTGCTTCTGAATAAAACTAAATAAGTAAAAAATGAGGTAAAGGTAGCTTTTATGGACAGGTCATAACTTTATACCTCAGAGTACGATGCGCTGGGTGTGATGACCAAGGGACCCCACTCACTAGCACGCTCTGGTGAGACGCGAGTCACTGTGACATGTACAGCATTAGCGGCGAGGTCACTGCTGGCCACAGGCCCCAGAGCCCACCCTGTCCATCTACAAGTCTACACCTTTGACCAAGGAGTCCCCCTCTCTGTCCCCAACTCCCAGCGCCTCATCACTGTCCGGTCTCTGCTTCTGTGGGTTCGACCTCACTAGATGAGTGTGGGCCAGGTCACGCGGCATGTGTGCTCAGCATTTTAGCCTTAAAATGTCTTTCTTCCACGAGCAAGCCCGAAAGAGAAGGAGAGACAGCACCCCACTAGCCTGACGCCGTGGCCCACTCCAGCCTGAGAAGGAGAGGCAGCACCCCACTAGCCTGACGCCGTGGCCCCCCCCCCGCCCGAGGAGGAGCGACAGCACC